TTCTGAAGTTACACCCGCCTCACCAGTCCGGGACTCAACAAGCAGCCACGGTCAAAATGTTGCGTTGTAATTAGCGTTGTTGGGTTGAGCGGGCGATTGCAACAAATTGGCGTTTGCCCAGTCTTCTGACTTGCGCGCGCAACACGCATTGACCATAGGGCTTGTTCAGGCGGAGCATGGCGGGATTCTTGGCCTACAGCTCCGATTCATCTCAAGGAGCTGCAAGCGGATCAAGCGCAACATCTTTACATGTTCGATCGCCCAGCGAGGTATATCTAGGAGGAGCAGGTTCAGCAGTCCGTCCACAAGCTCCTCCCGGGTCAACGAGTTGGTTTCATCCACATCCAGGAGATCAAACAGTTCCGACATGCCTTAGCAGGAATGCCGAAGACAGCCAAAAGTTGGGCTCGGGTGCTGAGGACACACTGCCCGCGCGAGACTATATACATACATCATATATGTATGTATGCTCTTTCTTCTCTCTATACATACGTACTATAGACTTGCAAATACATGTATATGCATAGGAATATATGAATATTATCTAGATGTGTGCGTGTCTTTGAAACGCCTGCAGCTCAACAACGCACGGTTGGTCAAATGTCCGGTTTTGGCTTTCCTGAACGTCGCCTGACACCTATTGACTTCCGGTTTGCCTCTCCCCGAAACCTTCTGCGTGTCTTATGCGACCACAGGCTTACGTGGGCCCAGGTTCTCGCGCGTTGCAGCCCTCGAGTCTAGCGCGCCAAACTCAATTGGGCAGCTCCAGCTCGCAAATTGCAACTTTTCAGTTCAAGTGTAGTAATACAAAGTATCCTCAAACTAGAGCTTCGTTGAAGCATCAAACTAGAGCTTCCGCGGAACTTACGCGACGCTAGTTTTACCCACAAACCCTACGCGAGCGTACGCAAATGTTGTCTTACGACAACGTATGCTGCAAGAACCAGCTCTCGAATCGACTTGAAGATGTTGGGCGCTGCTCACTTTGTGTGGCCTTTGCTGCAAAAAATATCGTGGCTGTCTGATGCCAACACAGCACCAGTAGTGCCTGTGCGTGCGCGCCCCTTCTCATGTCTTCCAATGATTCGTCAACGCAGGCCTCGTTGACATCTGATAGGAACAAAGACTGCAAAGAAAGCACGTGAGAGGCCATGCCACGTGAGGATTCTGCATGTAAGTTCATGACGACCAAGTCCATTGGCAAAGCATCTTAGCAAGTATGGCACGTCCCGGCCAACAGGCGAAGTCCTCAGACTGCACTGTTGCAACAGGAAGTTACCTCAACCTCTGGCCGGGATTTTTTTTCCACATGGAACGCTGCACATCATCAGCCCCGGAAAGTCACCTCAACTTTTTTGGCCACTGTAACGTCGCAATATGTGTCGCGAAAGTATTGGTCAATGATGTTTTAGTCAGCTTGAAACGTGTGTTGCCTATGCGTCTGTGAATCGGGGAAAGCACTTCGTCACACATGTTTGCGGAACTTTCAACACGTATTCCCAATGGAGCGCTCGTGATCACTTGGCGATCTTCTGAAACCTAAACTTGCGATTGTGAGACACAGCTTGCGCCCACTTCTCTCTGCCTTGCTTGGACAAAAGCATTTCGGCCCTGTCACTGGCGCGCTCATGACCACAAGCAGTTCATGCGACTTCCCGGGCTGACGGTACGTCTTTGACAACATGAACGCTAAGCCAGTCAAGGTGTTCCGCCCAAAACACAAATACGAGTGCTCAAAAAAACCCCGCACAAAGCTTGAGGCTGTCAACTGCAGTACGTCAAATGGCAAAAAGGCGAAAGGCATGTCGAGGTGCTGTCAACGGGCATGACCTCTACGAGATAGGCTGGAAGGACGTCGATGGGCAATTTCCCAAGCTCAGCTCGTGTGATGGAACCATCGTGATCCTCGTCCCACTCATCGAACAAATTGCAAAGATCGGGAAGAGCCTGGCGGAACTCACTTAAGCCTGCTAAGTCTCCCAAGTCTCCACCGGAAAGCAGAAATCGAGATTCGTTTGCCTGTCTAACCATCCGAACTCTCATGAAAGGAAAACTGGGACCCGCAGCATCTAAGCCGAGAACCGCCCCATTCGGTCTGCCCGTGCCGGCCTGCTTAATTTTCTCCTTTGTCTCCAGACGCTCTCGCTCCTGTTCGCTGGCGGTGAAGTTCATAGATGTCTCTACCAGCACGGCCGTCACCAAATTCATGAGGCACACGGAGATCAAAATCATGAGCGGCAAGAAGAACAGGGACAAATACGGCTTCTCTACTATGAGTGGGTAGTAAACGGCTGCCAGGGAATCCACAGTCACAAACTGCAGCAGAGTCAAACACGACTTGGGCAAGGAGCCGAAATAGTAATGGACGATTGGCCCTGTCGAAGGGTTGCTGATCAGGTCATTGTCTTTGGTGATGATCTCAACGGCCACGCAGCCAGAAATGAAGAGCGTCAGCGAAATCAACGCAGTTGTGGACAACATCGTGCCCCCCGCCGTCAGCAATCCATTCACAAGTCGCCAAACGACCTGACAGGGCCAACTTTCACCTCAAGAGCCGTTGTTCAGAGTTCGAACCCCGACGAGTTCGGGTTCCATTGCTAGCCTGTCCTGTTCAAACCATTGGCATGTCACCCAAAGCCGTTAAATTAAAGCCAAACATGGAAGCAGGGCTCACGACGTGCTGCCTCAAGCAGAGCACATTGGGCCCACCTATGTCCGCTTACGCAACGACGGTCTGCGCATCCCTCCAACGGGCCACATCCCAAGCCGTTGGTTTGGTGGCACCCTTTTCAACCAAGAAAAGCGGCTTCCACGCTGAGCGCCCGATCGCGCCAGGCTACAACGGCACAACGGCACTTGCGGCAGGCAGGCCACGGCTCAAATCTTGGTCTGTGGTGTGCAACAATGTCGACACATCGCAACATGTCAAGCGATCCTTCCCCATGGCTTGGATCCAATCGAAGCAACTGCCCCACCTTGCCCTCCTCGGACTCGCCAAAATCCATGTAACCATATGAAACAAACAACATGTTCCCGGTCCAGGTGACTTCTCCCCCCGGTCCCATCGGAACACGTCTTCGTTTCTCGCCGCGCGCCTTGAAGCGCCGGGAGAGCCGCAGCGCGCGCGCCAGGCGCAGCAGCCGTAGGCCCCGCGCCACCATGAGCTTGTCGAAGCCGTCCAGCGCGCTGCCCCGAAACAGCGGCGCCAAGACCAGCGCCACGAAGCCCAAAATGACCAGGAAGAGGTCCAGCAGCATCCAGGGGCTCCGCAGGGAGCCTCAAGCGGGTTCGAAGTTCAGGGCTTCTCATGGACCGAACCTGGTCAAAGCCCGAGAAGAACGGGGGAAAAAAAAGGTGGCCGAAGGGCCGGGCCAAAGAAGCAACTTGGACTGGAAATGGGTCCTTCGCATACCACAAAGTCGTTTGGCCGCAAACTAAGGGGACCGGAAAGATCGGTCCCACCGCGAGCTTCGCATGCCAAACTGTGGGGAACTGACCGGAAGCCGATTCTTTTGCACATGCAATCTAGAAAAAGAACGTCGAAAAAACCTCTCAAATGAAGGACACCAATAGATTTAGCCGCAAACAATCGGCATTCCCAGAAACGCGGGCCATTTGGATGTCGCATGTTTCAAGGGATCCCAGAGGAAACCTATACCATTTACAGCGCATGGCCGTGCCAAATTCAGCACTAGGATCGAGTGCCATAGGCCATCACCCGCAGAACCAGCTCCACGGTGTAAATCGCCAGGAAGCTTCGCTCAACCTGAGGCCCGGCGGATGGAAATCAGCGAACACCTCAGGGGGACACTTCTGGGCTGCCCGTTTTCAGATCCCCGGTCAAAAGTGAATAACTTGTGGGTAACATGGAAAATCCAACCACTAAACCAACTAAGAAGCTAAGACAGCTAAGGAACAGGACTTGCTTCTTGGTTTGTAAATTTTGTCACTGGTCTTGATTAAAATTAACCTAAAATCAGGTGAAACCTTCTTCTTGGCTTGCAGTTGGCAACTGCTCTTGTAGCAAGCGTTGCGTTTCTTGTACGCAGCAACACCTTTCTGCTTCTACTGTAAATAGTGTTTCTCTGTGCTTTTCCGCGAGCGCAAACTGAAACAACCAATTTCACATCAGCCACAAAGCTTCCACAAACCTTCCGCGAAAGAAATCACTTCAGCGAAGCCTTCCCCATGCTTCCGCCAGTGCACGGTGCACATTTTCAATGATAATGTCCCTGCCCCTACTAAAGTAGTTTGCGGCCAGAAACACCGCCGCTCAAACGGCTCGAGTCCTCACGAGGAGAATCACTCCTGACCAGTCCGGAGTAATCCGAACACAAAACTCACGCTGTTTCCCAACTCACGCTCGACGTTGTCCCCGGCCTGCATGCCCCAGTCGGCCTTGCCGCCATGCAGCGAAATCTCTGCCTGCGTCGCGCTTCGAAAGCCAGATCTGCCGTCATGGATCACCATGAAAGATCTGTGAGGCAGATGCTGGATATTCGAAAGCCTGGACATTCCAAAAAAGTCGAGCTATTCTTGGGGCTGAAACTGCAGTGGGAACTGCTGTCATTCTCACCTGGAAGCCGATTTTTCGGCACGACCGAAAGCGAAGGCCTCAATGCCGATGATGATCATGTTGACCATGATGAGGCTGCCAGTGATGTGCCTTGAAACCCGAAACAAGGGTAGCTTTTTAGTGAGTTGACATCCCCCCCTGCAACTTTTGCGAATCGGAATCACATGCAAATGCGTGTGCGATATTCTCAGTGGCCAGTGATTTGTTACATCTCCCCAAAAGATAAAGGAAGAGCGACCCATAAACCCTAAGGTTGTCTTTCTGGTGAATGACCGAGTCCGAGTGTCGGGAATGAATCGTTTGGGGATTCCCGCATATCAAGGAAACCATCTCGGCGATGACTTTCTCTTGGGCTCATTCCATCAAAAAATCTTGAGAATGAGCCGGTTTTGGGGGGGTTCAACCAAGGAAACACCCAACTCAATACTTTTTTTCCCAGGAAATCACTCCACTTCTCACTCCCCGCATCACTCGAGAACCGAAGGCCGACGGGTTTTCACCCCCAACCCACTCAAAAGCCATGTCTCGCCTATAAGCCGCCGAGGGGCTCGAACCAGGGGGACTTCACAAAGTCCACGAGCCCCTTCCGCCAGCCAGGCTCCTCGCGGCTTCGACCGGAGTTTTTTTTGTTTATTATTAAGCAAATCGTGCAAAACACTGGTCGAAACAAAACAAAAAACAAAAACATCCACTGGAAAAAAGATATCGAGTTTGTTTCATCAGAGAGAGTGCCGAGTTCAAGACACTTGCATTGTGATTCTTGTGATTAGCAAACACCTAAACAACACGTGGTTCTATTTCACCAAAAGAAGGAGACCCGATGGTGGTGTTCTCTTTTTACAAAACCCCGAAACTGCATGGCTTGCATAAAACAAGCAAGCCCGATTTCAGCTTCCACAAGTCTGAGGTACGCAGGAGGAGCACTCCCATGCTACCACAGGTGCAAACACCGCCAGGCGAGCAGCCGCGAACATCTCAGACAATTGTTGGAGAAAAACCATCCTTCAGTACGCCCTGTTTCAAGATAGCCAGTGCTCACCATGGGCGCTTCCTACACTAAGTGGCCAACAGTGGAGTCCCATTATACTTCCCCTAGTTGAAAGGACCCTTGAAGCTGAGCGCCATCTGCCGAACATTTTTCTTTTGAACTGGCCTGGTTTAAAATGTGTCTCCTTGAAGTTGACGCGTTCAAGCCCCTGCCCAGGCCAACCGCCAAACCAATTCGTGCTGTTTCAACCGCCAAACATGAAAATGTGTCCAGTCTGTATCACCACATCGTGCCACGTCGATGCCCATGATTGGCAAAAACGTATACTAGATCCCATGCGGTCCATGGGGCCCGTCGCCCTCTCTCTTCAGGGGGATGGATGTCGAGCCTCGTTGGCGTGCATCTCGATCTCCACTTCCTCCACCATCTGCTGCAGTATGGTATTTTGTCTCGCCTGCTTGTGCTTTTCACTCGGGGAGACCTTGGTTTGGCGAGGATCCCGGTAGCATCCCAGCGACATTGGCAGCATACATGCGTTTTTCCTTTTAAGTCAAGCAACAAACATAAGTCATATTGTGTGGGTGTGGGCAGCGTACTAAACAGTCCAGCGCCTCCTTGACACTCTTCAAGGCATTGGCAGCAGATTTTGTTTCGCTCATAGGCAGCTTTGCTCCCAGCAACATTGGCAGCACACAAAACTGTCTGCCCTTGGCACGAGTATATAAATAGACATCGGCGGCAACATTAAACAGTTCCTCCTTTCACCTGGGCAACCTCTGGCCGTGAAGCAAAAACAAATTTGGGTGTTTCCCAAATAGGGACCCCACAAACGGTTGGCAAACAATCCAAAAAAGGCGTCCCTTGTTTTAGAAAACACACTTGACTTAACCCGTCACAACAAGGGCCTGCGCCCAATTGGCCAGCAAGCCATGCTTGAAAACAAACGGAAACTCCCGACAGGGACCAGGGACTGTTGATATAATCTGGGGAGCATCCACTCCGTGTCTGACATACAAACTGCCAGACTGGCATTCATTGCTTGCTCTCAAATTAACTGAAAGCCAACGGTGTTCTTCCTTCTAGAACAACAAAGGAGGGGCTACAAGCTGCTGTTCGTGAGCATGACACAGGACGCAAAGATTTGGAAGCTGCTGGTCGGGGGTGCGCGGGGAAGGCTGTACTTAGCCAATTTTGAATTTTGCGGGAGTGGTGCTACAACATTATTTCTTGAGTTCTCAAATGCATTTGGCAAACTTGTCAAATGCTGAAGAGTGTGGTTGTGTGTGTGTGCGCGTGCGTGCGTGTGTCTGCGTGCGTATGTGTGTTGTAGTGCTGTATGTGCTGTGTGTGTGTTGTATATGTTGTGTGTGCTGTATGTGCTGTGTATGCTGCATGTGCTGTATGTGTTGTACGTGCTATACATGCTGTATGTGCTGTATGTGTTTGCGTGCGTGCGTGCGTGCGTGCCTGCGTGCGTGCGTGCGCACGAGCGCGTGCGTGCGCACAAGCGCGTGCGTGCGTGCCTGCGCGCCTGCGTGCCTGCGGGCCTGCGGGCGTGCGTGCGTGCGTGCCTGCGCGCTTGCGTGCCTGCGTGCGTGCGGGATTGCGTGCGTGCGCGCCTGCGTGCGTGCCGGCGTGCGTGCCGGCGCGCGTTCCTGCACGCCGTCTCTCTCGCTCGTCTCCGCGGCCAGCATGCTCCGCAGCTTCTTCGCGGTGAAGTACTGCGCCGGGGCCTTGTTGTCCGTCAGCAGCATGACGCCCAAGGCGTCCGGCCAGCTGCGCAGCTTGGGCTTCAGAAGGAACTTCCACAAGGGCACGCCGCCCGCTTTGTCGGACCCGCGCTTCGGCATGGCGAGGGAGATCGCAACTAAGCACCGCTCGACCAAGCCAAAACGCTCTTGCGCAAACAGAAACCGGCGAGCTGAACCCGAGAGCT